CTTTCTTGGTACTCTCATTTCAAATATCTCAGGAACTAGAATATTTTTGTAAAATATTTTCAAGAGGCGGTATGTCTGTTCCCAAAATAATTTATTGAAGGGTATTCTTTCTACTGACATACCCTCAGGCGACCATATTACAAAGTCACAAAAGATTTTTCACAGATGGCCATTTGCATTTGACATTGGAAATAATATTTATGATTCCGTTTCAATTTCAGTCTGCCATTTTCGAAAGTGCTGCAAAATGAATAGTATTGCTTCTTTGTAAGTTTTTCTTTTGCCTCAGTTGGATTAATGTTTTCAAGTACTGATGGGCACTTAATTTCTAAAACACCATCAGCCACATCTGTACTGAGAGACTGTAAGATGCCATCAGGGCTACATCCTAGTTCAGAACATTTCGAATTTATCAAGAAACCACTTGCAAGGCAGGTAAATGTTTCTACATATTTTAATGAATAGTCTTCAAAGGCTTTTTTTTTCATTATGTGATCCATACCTCATGTCAACAGTATTAAAACAATCAATACCCCATACATGTGATGATAACAAGCGATATCTACCTCGATCTGTGGATACCATAGAACAGTCTTTACAAATAGATGCTGTCACTCTGTACCACCTGGCATTATGCCACTGATCAGAAATTGCTTGACCCACAGTACCAGGTACTTCACAAGGGCCAACTCCATACTCTGAAATACTTTCTTTCACATTTTCAATGTGAAACATCACATTTATCCATGAGATATAACTTCAAGTCATTAGACAATTCATAATCATCATAAGTAATTTCTAGGATACTCTGCCATGAAGTATTTGTATCCAAGGCAAGTGCAGTAGAAATGAAAGCAGTTGCAAAACTACTGTCAGCTCTGTGAGACTGATCTACAACAGGACATGGGTCATGATCAATAACACGGTTAGGAGCTCCCTTTTTGCTGTACTGCAAAGTGTGGGCAGGTTGTGGGTTTCTAGTTTTGTTTCGGGGTTTATTCCAGGAACAAGAGAAAGAAGTACACGAGGGTGCTGTATAGCCAAAGTTGACAGTATAATCCTCTAATGCAAACAACAATCCTGCAATGTGGCTACAACGTCCAGTGGCTGAACCTACACAATCACATGATGCATCCTGGATGACTGCAAAATTATCAAGAGTAACATGTACATGTACATCATACCTAGTCTGTATGATGGAAGACATTCACATTTAAGATAACAATACTCATTTTTAGAACATGTTTGAATATTTTGTATGTGGCCACTCTTAAAAAAGCTCGTCCCTTCTTCATTGGCTTTGCAGTGCTGAAGGTGTTGTCCTGATCATCATCATCACTGTCATTGATAGGAGTGACTTGTGGTAGAGGCTGTAGTCTGGCTGATGCAATGATATACTGGTATATATCGCCATATGAGAAGGTTGGTGGGATGTTGCCAGAAGGGAAGGCCTTCCATCCAGTGATAGGTGGTGTGGGAGGTTGCCTCACAGCCGAACACGGACTTGAACTGTAATACAAAGAGAAGATAGTGCAATACACAATCATGACACATGTATCTATTTGGCTATATAATTCATGCACCAGTGCAACATATTATTGTAACATGCAACCTAATATTGATGTCAAAATGCACTAAATGCATGTAAAATTCCAAATTTGTGTGTCTATAAGTCTAACCCTTGTGTATCCACACATCAATCTTGGATCACATTCAATACCTGTACAGTTTATTTACCCTACTACATAACTAATCTGTGTTATTTGTCATGATTTCGTGGGCTTGACATTGTCACATTGTGGGTACTTCTAGATTGTGTGCAAATGTTCCTATTACGTTTCACAGCAATAATCCAAAAATAAACAAGACACGGGCAGCAGACCAGCCTGTTTCAACTTTGATATATTTATTGGACCAGGGGACAAGCTGATTTTGTTTGGTGCAACTGGGTTTTCATGTCAACATGCACCTGGTGCAAGTATTATCAACTTCCTTAAAACCGAGCTATGTGACATTGTAATCACATATATGTGATGCAAGTATTATCTTTCTTAAGGGACCAATTATTTGATTTAATTTGCGGGTGGGGTGGGGTGGGTTCCTGGGATTTCATGACAGAAGACCCAAAGGATATTGTTTTCACAACGCCCATATTAGGACATGAAGCTTTTGAAAATTAAAATATTACAAACATTATTTTTTTCAACCTGATGGAAAAATATTTTTGGATTCCTGTAAAAAATTCTTTTATGAGTTGATTAATTCAATTATTTAAGTGATTAATATAATTTTCTCAGAATATATATGCTGTGAACAGTAATGGAAATTCCCTTACATTTTCTTTTTGGGTACTTTTTAAATGATGTTCCATTACAAATGTTGTTCACAATATTAAATCCATTTGACAAAAGTTAACAGAATTCAATGCCATTTCAATCCAGAAATGGAAATGCATCAATAATATTTCAACCCATTCTTACGCAATCTTTGCATTTGGTCAAAGATAAAATCTGGAATTGAAACCTCATAGTTACCTGTTAAGAGATGCCAAAACATCTTGAACCTTTATTTGGTACCATTTCCCATTATCAATGGAAATGGCAATGTTCGTGTTCTGCTGTGCTGTGATGCACTCTTGACATCTGTGTGAAAACAATGGATAAAAATCAGTTATGTTACAATTTCAGATATTGATTAATGAGTAGATGATTCAGTTTCCAACCCCTGAGCTTACTAGTAAATGATTGCATGATTACTTTCCATCTATATTATTACTAGTAATATTAGTTCAATCACTTTAATCATTGTTATTGGGAAGTCATGATAATAGGATCAAGTTTTTTGCAGAGTATAGTAATATACATACTTTCTTTTTTTAAATAGCAATTTCATGAAGAATACTGACAAGATCAATCACCCCTTTACGATCATTAGGGTTAGGTACCCGTTTTATTTCGAAAATGCCGAAATGCTCTTACTCGTGACCTGAAGCAATGGTGTCATATACTGAACCAGTTGTCATTTTGAAGTATTAATTATGCATATAAGTAAATAAATTAATTGTATACTTATGTTCATATTAGTTCAAGTGTGTGAAGAAAAACACTACAAAGAGATGAAAATGGCTATAAAGTTGTTTGGTAATTCAATTATATTTTCGCGTGGAAATTTTCGTTGTGTGGGATTATTTATGCCTTAAAAAATCTGGAAAATAATAGTAATAATAACAACAACGTTTGCATGTGTAAACAGAATCATTGACAGAGGTACATATGGTATTGTGGCTGCCAGACCAGGTTGTGGTCATCATGTGAGTATAATAAAAATAATATTGTAATTACCGGATTATAGTCCAAGCTGTTAGATTAGAACGGTCATGGACGTATTAAGTGTCCATGAAACGGTGAAAACTGGAACAGTTATTGCCCTTTTTCAGACGAACGTTTAGTGCCCGAATTCTCTCATCCAAGCAAATGTCATGCTGATAACGAATACGACAGATTTCTATTATTCCCACATACATTTATGGAGTTGAAACACACAAATGTATTTCAGTATTATCCGTTATTAGCATAAACAAATATTACGGAAATCACTTCCGGTTTGGATTTTGATATGACGTCTGTCTCCTAAATTATATGCACATCGGGTTAATCATCAGAGTACCGCAATACCATTGTGATAACAATCAAGGCACGATACCTTTAACAAGATATATATTTCATAGATTCTCATAACTTACATATACTATTTTTAACGAAAACCAATAAATAAGACGACTTACCTTTCGACGAGTTCGGTCTTCCTTCCTGTCATCGGCAGGCCTCGGCACTCCAACCACAGTTTCAGCTGAACAACTGAATGTCTGTCGACGTCTGGATAAATAAACTGAGCTCCAGGGACATCTTCAGGCAGCAGAGACACGTTAAACAAAGGCGATGTAGAAGCCATGTTAATACGGATGCGGGGAAACGTCAAAACAACTATCAAATAGAGGCGCGCGAAAAACTCCAATGTTTGTCCCTCGAAATATTATTGTGTATCACGTGACGCGTATGTGCACATAAACTGTGACGTAATCGATGAAATGGCTTATTGGGATCGATGACATGCATCAACGAAGTCAGTGAGCCTGACCACCCGATCCCGTTAGTCGCCTTTTACGACAAGCATAGTCGCCTTTTCCGGCAAGCATGGGTTGCTGAAGACATATTCTATCTCGGAATCTTCACGGGTCCAAAACACAGTGTCAACACAGGGGTATTTTGCCGTAAATGGTCAGACTCAAGCGGTAATCAGAAGTCCCTATTGACAGTAGTTCCACGCTCCTTGCAGAAACAGATTTTATAAGAAGCACACTCAGGAAAGGCAGGGGGACACTTTGCCCACATGAAAACACTCTCCAAGGTGAGAAAAAGATTCTACTGGCATGGGATGTCTGATCAGATCAAGTCTCTTTGTGCGACCTGCAAGACTTGCACGACGCAAGCCGACCGGAAAATCTAAAGCACCTTTACAGCAGGACAGTGTTGGAGCACCCCTGGAGAGATTGGCAATAATTACATCTAAGGTCCATTTCCTGAAGCCGAGTCTTATGTGTGGTTGGTGATTATGACAACCAAATGGGTTGAGTCTTATGCACTACCAAACCAAGAAGCAAATTAAAGACAGTTGCTAATGCTTGGTTGGTTTGTTGTTTAACGCCGCACTCAGCAATATTCCAGCTATATGACGGCGGTCTGTAAATTATCAAGTCTGGACCAGACAATCCAGTGATTGATATATCATGAGCATCGATCCACTCAATTGGGATCGATGACATGCATCAACCAAGTCAGCGAGCCTGACCACCCGATCCCGTTAGTCGCCTTTAACGACAAGCATAGTCTCCTTGCTAATGCTTTAGTTGAACAATATATTTGCAGATTTGGGGTTCCACATGAAATCCACACAGATCAGGGGAGAAATTTGAGTCAAGAGTCTTTTCTGAGATTTGCGGGATGTTTGACATCCACAAGACAAGAACCACTCCGTTCAACCCAAAGTCTGATGGCATGGTTGAAAGATTTAACAAGACAGTGGTTGATATCTTGGCCAAGTATCTGGATCCCCTATGTCAACAAAAGGACTGGGACAAGAATCTACCATTTGCACTGATGGATTACCGCAGCGCCGCCCATGAATCTAACAAACAAGATGGTGTTCGGAAGAGAGCTATGTATATGCCTGTTGAAGTGATGATACAGACTCCATATACCGACAGAGTTCAAGTTGAAGAATATCCCATGAAAGTTAAAGAAAATCTTTTAGATATATGGGATCAGGCGAGGATCAACTTGAAAGATGCCGGTCATAGACAGAAAAAGAATTAATTGTGACTGACATTTACACAGCAAATCATTTTCAGTTGGGGATAAAGTATGGTGCCTCTTTAACAGGCGCTACAAAGGACTTTCTCCCAAGTTACAGATGATGTGGTCAGGGTCTTTTTCCATTGTTCGAAAAATCTCTGATGTTAATTACAGAATTCAATAAGGGTCCCGCAGCAAGCCTTGCGTGGATCGATGCTCATGATATTAATCACTGGATTGTCTGGTCCAGACTCGATTATTTACAGACCGCCGTCATATAGCTGGAATATAGCTGAGTGCGGCGTTAAACAACAAACCAATCGCATCATTCATTTCGACTTGCTCAAGCCGTATCTGACTCTGCGAAGTAGTTACTGCCGGGATGACCGCCGTTTCTGCACCTGAAAGTAGAAAGATATACGAGAGCAGACCAAGTAGATTCAATGCTTAGATGAATGAGGTTTCATGAAGTCTGCTAGAGACACTTAGAGACTTGATAATAATGGTACTATTATTATTTCAGATGCCTAATTCTTATGCCTGTTGCGAGTGTAGGCACTGGTTCACTTCGTCGAGTAATCTTTCCCGTCATGTGAGGGAGAAGCATAGACACAGACAAAGATATAAATGCACAGATTGCGACCATGACTACAGTAGGAAGGATGATATGATTAATCACAAGAGACTGCGTCATAGACGTCACCAATTACAGTCCCAAGCACAGCCAGCAGAACAGCCCCAGACACCGACACCACCCGGGTTTGTGTACCAGTTGGTACCACTGGCAGCCCCAGCACTGGCTCCAGCACCAGCTCCAGCACCAGCTTCTGTTGAGTTGAGCCCAGCCTCCCCGAGCCAGCTAGAGTTGCTGCTGTTGTGCAGCCAAGCAAGCCGGAGAGTGATTGGGAGGATATCGAGGACATCCTCCTGGAGGGCATTGCAGATACTGAGAGAATGGAGGAGGGGACATTCATCCCAGAGGAGATACTTTCGTCCTCTTCCAGCGAAGAGGAAGCAAACCACCCATCCATCCACCCACCCACGGGGAAAGGTGATCTACCTGAGGTAGAAGATGAGAGAGTGAGGAAGACATTGCCCATGGACCCATAAAGACACCAGTTATCATGCGTACATTCAATCGAGATGGCCGTCTTCTAGGTGTGTTTAAGGAGGAAACGTGTTATTATTTAAAAATTAACCTTGACTTGCATTTTGTATTTTGTTTTGTATTTTGCCTTACACGGAGGTTTGATTGGTTGGTTTGTTGTTTAACGCCGCACTCAGCTATGTGACGGCGGTCTGTAAATAATCGAGTTTGGACCAGACAATCCAGTGATTAATATCATGAGCATCGATCACGGAGGTTTGAGGCAAGGGAGGGGGCAGTGTAACAAAATTACCTGTTCTAGCAAGGTTAACAGGTACTTCAAAGATCACACTTACAGCCTTTTAAGACAGTGGAACAACTCCCAGCCTTCACACTAATTTCAACTATGGTACCAGCATCATGTTGTATGTTATAAGGATGACATACCGTTTATGCAGTGTTTTTCCAAGTTACAGAATCAAGTATAACAGTAAATTCCAACTTGAAGCACGTCAGTCATGTTTACAGTAGCCATCTTGGATTTATTTTCTGACGTCACGTTTGCGTATCATGTGACCTTGCGTCACCTATAAATAGACCTGTCAAGGTGAACTTCGGGGCGGCAATTTTGACTTTGACAAGCAAGGTAGGGTTCCAGGGTTACATCACAGCTAAATTATATTTTTCGCATTCTAGAATTTTTTATTGTATAGCTTTTAATCTAAATGGCTAATATTAATACTTGGTCTGCTCTCTAAGTATTTGATCGTGGATTAGTGATTATTTACCTCTGTGGACATCCGGATGACGTCTGACAGTTCCTAGATTCCGACAGCCATTCCGGATTCATTCCAACGGAATATTCCAAGATCGTAATTATTCAAGCATACAAGTTACAGTTATCACAAGTCGCAATTGTGATTTGTCGTCCGTATAAAATATTACAGATTACAGCCTCTATTTAGATGTTTTGACAGTCGTCGATTGTCATCGCGATCCGGGGGTTCGAGGTCATTCCGACCGGATTGTTTACATTATCAAGTCGCGTGATGATGCCATCACAGTCAATGGTTTTTATCTACAGATGTTTACAGGGATCGTTCTAGAATCGATCCTTTATATTTAGTTCTAGGCTTTAATTAGGATTTGACTTCATGCTGACTTAAATCGCAGTTTGACATCTCTCGGAGGTGTGGCCTCATTGTGATCCATTCTGGGTCACATGACTTCCGGAATGTACTGTTTACATTACATGGATCCAGTTCCGGTTGCAGCCAAGTTCGTACACTTTCAAGTTTCAAATTTATTGTACAGTTTGATTGTTTTAACAGTTCAGATATATTAATCGTGGGAGGGATACAGACAAGTACCGGATTCTAGAGCCACGATGTGACAGACAGTGCCGAGCGACTGATGTTTCGAGTACAGTTCAAAGCCGGTATCACGTCCCGCGATCTCGAGACCAGGTACAAGATTTTTTAGTTCATTGAATAATTAATAAACTCGTTATTGAACTTTACCTACTTGTTGTGTGATCCTTCTGCATTTCGCTAGTTTCGACATTCGTAACTTTGTAGATCCTTGTGATATATTTTCGCTGAACCTCGTCTCCAAGCTCTGGTAATTATTTTGTCACATTTTGTGACTCGTGGCAGCATCCATTTATTTTAGTAATTTGTCCACAAGTAGTTATCGACCAGTCTTTGGCCGTTCCGTTACAATAATCTCTTAGTTCCTGAGAAGATGTCGTTTGAAGCAATAAAGCCAAATTACCCCTATCTGGCCCCGCCCCTCAGCCCACCATTTGTAAAATTTAGAATCCCCACCACCTAGGGATGTTTCCAGTCAAATTTTGTTAAGTTCCAATTAGTGGTTCAGAAGAAGAAGTCGTTTGAAAAAATAGTTGACGTACGGACGACGGACGCCACGGTATGGCATAAGCTTACCTTGGTCCCTCGGACCCGGTGAGCTAATAGTTGTAGCGCTAATATAAGTTCATTCTGTGAAAGTGGATCCAGGAGTTCATCTTTTGACAGTGCTTTGGAAAGGTTGGCCCCTCATTTCTTACGATCCGGGGTAGAATAGGTCTTCAGCAACCCACGCTTGGCGTGAAAGGCTACTATGCTTGTCGTATGAGGAGACTAACGGCATCAGGTGGTCAAGCTCGCTGACTTGGTTGATGCATGTCATCTTTCCCAATTGCCTGGTACCCGTGAAGACCCGGGTTAGAATAGGTCTTCAGCAACCGAATCTTCACGGGTCTTGCCATAAAAGGCGACTATTCGTGTCTTAAGAGGCGACTAACGGGATCGCTTGGTCAGACGCGCTGACTTGGTTGATGCATGTCATCGATCCCAATTGCGTGGATCGAGGCTCATGATGTCAATCGATGGATTATCTGGTCCAGACTCGATTTTTACAGACCACCGTCATTTAGCTGAGTGTGGCGTTAAACAACAAACAAACAAATTTGACAAGCATGACATCTTGTGATTTAGCCACCATGACATAGCCATCTAAGAGTTTGTTCTTTGTTTCCCTGTTGTCATATAGCTGGAATATTGTTGAGAGCGACAAACCAACCAACTGTTGTTTAACGTAGCACTCAGCAATATTCAAGCTATATGACGGCGGTCTGGAAATATAATCGACTCTGGACCAGGCAATACAGTGATAAATGTCATGAGCATCGATCCACGAAATAGGGTTGCGAGTGATTGAGTGTGTTAAGGTACATCGCAGTGTTTCAGCCATATCCCTATTGTTTATCAGCCGATTGCAATGACCGAGAATGAGCCACTATTGAAAATGGAGAAGGAAATGAGTTTCAAAATGTTTATTGATACATCAAAATATTCAAGTAAATAAGTATATTCTTATGTAAATTCAGTAAATAGGACCGTGACGATCTGGGGTAGAATAATGTCTCCAGCAACCCATTAGAGCCGTAAAAAGCTTGTCGGAAGAGGCGACTAACGGTATTGGGTGGTCAAACTCGCTGACTTGGTTGATACATGTCAAGACACCGCCGTCATATAGCTGAGTGTGGCGTTAAACAACAAACCAACCAACAATCTTTATTATTGTTAGTTCAGATCTTAAAAATAATGTACATTTCGTGTATTTGATAGTGATTCATAAATACATGCCTATTCAGTCGGAATGGTAAGCGACTTCAGCTTTTAGCAGAAAAGTATTATGATTAGTTTGTTGTTGTTTTGTTGTTTAACGCCGCACTCAGCAATATTCCAGCTATATGACGGCGGTCTACACTTATATAATCGATTCTGGACCAAACAATCCATACATTTTGATATCATGAGCATCGATCCACGCAATTTGGATCGATGACGTGCATCAACCAAGTCACCGAGCCTGACCACCCGATCCTGTTAGTCGGCACTTACGTTGATTATTATAAGTATCGCTTTTATGTTCATAACGTTCAAGGAATGTGTTGCTTCAACTGCTTTTCCTAACATTGTAAGACAAATATAAGATACGATGAAGCAAAAGAACAGAAGGAAGTTTAAAATGTCCATATGTATAATGAAACGGTGCTTATTACAAACGTAGATACAACTTGAACCAAAGTAATACATGTACAATAAAAGATAACGTGTTCAAGCGATTATGAACATTACTTCTTCGCACAATGTATCTCACCAAGCCATCAAATATTAATGAATTACCTTGTTACACGAGTACATCATTACGACTTCTTGCACATACACATGTACAGTTCCAAGATACATTTTGTTTGTTATCTTTGCATTAAAGGACTTTGGTGACAAAAACAGCACCATCGTCACCACTAACATAACCCTTAAAGCGCCTCAGCTCCACTTGCTTCCACTTCCCTTGGGATTCTAAAGTCTTCATGTTGTCTCGAAATATGACTGCTTCAGCATCGCCGTCGTCAGAAAACAGCTTGTGGTAAACTGTATTAATGATGTATCCTCCTGAATTAAAATACAGGTAAAATGTTACATCAGAGCAAAACTAATTTTCTATGGCTAATCTTAAAATTTTGTAGATCCGGAGTATAATAGGTCTTCAGCAACCCATGCTTGCCGTAATATCCGGCAATATTCCTGCTATATGACGGCGGTCTGTAAATAATCGATCGCAATTGGGATCGATGACATGTATCAACCAAGTCAGCGAGCCTGACCACCCGATCCCGTTAGTCGCCTTTTACGACAAGCAGAAACACCTTTTACGGCAAGCATGGGTTACTGAAGACCCTATTACCCCGGAATCTTCACGGGTCCAAGACAATACTAACCTGGTTTTACACAATACTTACCTGGTTTTACAATTCGGATAAGCTCCTCAAATGCTTTTCTTGGCAATCTTTTCATTACCATAACGCTCAACCCCGATATAGTCACAGCATCGTAAGTATCTGAGGAATATATGAAACATAACTGTACTCGTCGTCTGTATCATATTGTGAAGGCATAACTTCTGTTCTGAACGCAAATATGCATTCCTACCGTATTACGCGAACCAACGATAAACACAACATGTGTACATGCCCGACGATGAAAAACTAAAATATCATCAAGCTTTTTCATTTATAGTTCAAACTGCTGCTGACACAAATACACACATTCTTTAAATAGATAAACTGTATTGAAGGACCTTCATGTTCTTCAACTTGATCTGAACATCACATTGGGATGAAATACACTGGGGAGATACTTCTCTTGATTTGGTTGGTTGGTTGATTTGTTGTTTTACGCCGCACTCAGCATTTTTCCAGCTATATGACGGCGGTCTGTAAATAACCGAGTCTGGACCAGACAATCCAGTATTTAATATCATGAGCATCGATCCACGCAATTGGGATCGATGACTTGCTTCAACCAAGTCAGCGAGCCTGACCACCCGAAGATTCCGGAGTATAATAGGTCTTTAGCAACCCATGCTTGCTGTAAAAGGCGACTAACGGGATCGGGTGGTCAGGCTCGCTGACTTGGTTGATACATGTCATCGATCCCAATTGCGTGGATCGATGCTCATGATATTAATCACTGGATTTTCTGGTCCAGACTCGATTATTTACAGACCGCCGTCATACAGCTGGAATATTGCTGAGTGCGGCGTTAAACAACAAACCAAACCAAAAACCACCCGATCCCGTAAGTCGCCTCTTACCACAAGCATAGACGCCTTTTTCGGCAAGCATGGGTTGCTGAAGACCTATTCTACCCCGGATCTACTCACGGGTCTACATTTCTTGAATCCAGAAAACATGTTGCAGCAATAATGTTCGCAGATCAATATACTCGATCATGGCAAATAATTATTACAGAGAAAGACTCACCACTTTTAATGTCCACGTTATTTTCTCCCAGCATCACGTTAAAGTACCGACCATAAATGCCTTTCTTCTTTGCCTCTTGAAGCATTTGTACTGACGGTTCTAATGCATCTATTTTGCGAAAACCGTGCGAGTAGAGCTGAGAATTAAAACGACTCGTATTAGCATTCATATTTGATATTTAGACACATTAAATGCAACCACAAAGTGTGATCCCGTGACGTCACTTTCTGAAAGGAACCCTTCAGAGTTCAAAACCATGCTCTTCAAGATAGATTAACTTGTTTGTTTGTTCGTTGTGTAACGCCGCACACAGCAATATTCCAGCTATATGACGGCGTCTGTAACTAGTCGAGTCAGGACCAGACAATCCAGTGATTAATATCATGAGCATCGATCCACTCAATTGGGATCGATGACATGCATCAGCCAAGTCAGCGACCCTGACCACCCGATCCCGTTAATCGCCTTTTACGATTAACTTGAAATTAAGCTATGTCATACACACTAAAAACAGTAGTGATGATTCGTTTGTCAATTTTACAAAGCAAATTACAGAGCATTCCTATGATTGTGGATTTAACCAGATCAAAGAAGCAACTGAAGTAGGCTGACCTTATCTGCACAAAGTCCTGTTCCGGCAGCAACGTCCAGAACATAAACGTCCTCTCTGTTGCTTGGAAACCATTCAGCAGCAGACTGGGCACTCTGGACGTGGCCTGAGAAGTTCATCGTTAGCAAAACCTTCATAGACGATAACAGAAGCCTTTGTAGGAATGATTTGTATTTCAGAAAAAAACAACAAAAAACATAAATGAAGATATACTATTACGATCGATCGGGAAGGGTTAACGAAAAAACGGCAAAACATCGCGACTGGGCATCAATATAATTATTATGTATAAAACATCGAACCAGTTCCTTCAGTTTCCCTACTCTGTATTATTCATTTGGTTGATAAAACTCGACCTTCGTTGGCGAGGCCTTCTAAATTAGTGTTAAATGAAGGCGAATTGAATTGGTTAAATTACACAAGCCTTAAAAGGCACCTAACCATATGGTTTGATGTAAACGCTAAAAGCTTAATATATGTGCAAACATTCAAAGATCGGTTTGTTGGTTTGTTTTTTAACGCCGCACTCCGCGATATTCCAGCTATATGATGGCAGTCTGTAAATAATCGAGTCTGGATCAGACAATCCAGTGATTGACATCATGAGCATCGATCCACGCAACTGGGATCAATAACATGCATTAACCAAGTCAGCGGGCCTGACCACCCGATCCCATTAGTAGCCTCTTACGACAAGCATGGGTTGCTGAAGACCTATTCTACCCCGGATCTTCGCGGGCCACCTATTGCCTACTCGGATAGCAGGAACAATCACGCAACTCCAATCAACACGGCGTCAAAACGCCGTTTCGCAACCGGTTGGTAGGTTTACGCCGCACTCAGCAATATTCCAGCTATATGACGGCGGTCTGTACATAATCGAGTCTGGACCAGACAATCCAGTGATTAATATCATGCGCATCCACCCGTGTGCAATTGGGATCGATGACATGCATCAACCATGTCAGCGAGCCTGACCACCCGATCCCGATAGTCGCCTTTTACGACAAGTATAGTCACCTTTTACGGCAAGCATGGGTTGCTGAAGACCTAATCTACCCATGAATCTTCACGGGTCGTTTCGCATCCGGACAACATTAGTTGAAGTGAGAGAGTATTAAAGTGTTGCACGTTTCACTATCTACATAACAATACATAGTATTCTGTCTGTTAAAACCGTTCTCCAGCGTATATGGCCATTGTCCTCTTTAAGCCTATTTACTATAAATGTGAAAATAAAATATTAACATACAACCGACCAGTGAAGACATGCTTGCTTGTAAATGGCGACTATGCTTGTCGTAAGAGGCGACTAACGGGATCGGGTGGCAAGGTTCGCTGACTTCTTGATGCATGTCATCGTATCCCAATTGCGTGGATTTATGCTCATGATCTCAATCACTGGATCAGGGTGAGAAAAGATCTTTACCAACCTATGCTTGCAGTAAGAGGCAATGCTTTATTAAATTTTTTTACAATACCCACCTTCTCGTACTGATGACTGTTTTCGGAAAACCTGTCGATGATGACGCTTGGGGCAGTAGAATCATCTCCGATTAAATAGTCAAAGGCCTTTTCGGCTTCCCCTCTCTCTTTCTGCGTTGTGTTTGCTGCGAATTTCTCACTCATGGCTCCTGTTAATTCGAGAGTAACAATTTAAGTTGGTTTGTTGTTTAACGCCATATAACGGCGGTCTGTAAATTTTATAATGGAATCCGGGGTAGAATAGGTCTTGAGCAACCCATGCTTGCCGTAAAAGGCGACTAGCGGGATCGGGTGGTCAGGCTCGCTGACTAGGTTGATGCATGTCATCGATCCCAATTGCGTGGGACCCGTGAATATTCCGGGGTAGAATATGTCTTCAGCAACCTATGCTTGCCGTAAAAGGCGACTAACGGGATCGGGTGGTCAGGCTCGCTGACTTGGTTGATGCATGTCATCGATCCCATATGCGTGGATCGATGCTCATGATATTAATCCAAAATAATCGAGTCTGGACCAGACAATCCAGTGATTGACATCATGAGCATCCATCCACGCAATTCGGATCGATGACATGCATCAACCAAGTCAGCGAGCCTGACCACCCGATCCCGTTAGTCGCCTTTTACGACAAGCATTGTCGCCTTGTACGGCAAGCATGGGTTGCTGAAGACCTATTTACAGGCCGCCGTCATATAGCTTGAACATTGCTAAGTGCGGCGTTAAACAACCAAACAACCATACCAATGCATGTCATCGTATCGCAATTGCGTAGATCTATGCACATGATGTCAATGACTGGATTGTCTGGTCCAGACTCGATTATTTTCAGACCGCTGTCATGTATAGCTGGAATATTGCTGAGTGTAATAATAATTAATAATAATTAACGACAAACAAACACATCCCAGTCTCGGGTAAGTTTTTGGTTGTTTAACGCTGCAGCTTTATGCATAAATTCAATAAACATTTAAAAATATTCCTGATCCCTAACATATTTTTGTTGAGTATATATGTTACTTACCTGTATCCCTCTAAATAAAAGTGAAGCCAAGTGACAACCTAGCTGATTTGTATGGCGTCAACACTACAGTCGAAGTTTATGTAGGGACTGTTCATCCAATCATATTTAGGGACGTCATGAATAAACACTCGTTTCTGATCTGATAATGGCTATGTCGCATCTGCAGGCATAAATAACACGAGCATGTGATAGTTTCTATACATTTGCATGATTCTTAAAAAACTTTGTTAACTTAAGCCATACATTTCGTATGATGCGAGAACATCATTTCCGATAATGTGTATTTGATTTTCTTCAAACTTTCTGTTTATGTTACATTTGCATTTGACAGTTGAGCATATTACACATATAGTTGTTGTACTTTAAGAGAAAAGTAAATGATAGCTTGACCAGTACCTGTTGAAATATCCAGTAAGAAAATGTTTTTATGTTTAACGCCGCACTCGGCAATATTCCAGTTGTATGACGGCGGTCTGTAAATAATCGAATCTGGACCAGACAATCCAGTGATTTTGTATGATGCGAGTACATCATTTGCGATAATGTGTATTTGATTTTTTTTAAATTGGTTGATTTAGTTGATGCATGTCATCGGTCCCAGTTGCGTGGGACCCGTGAAGATCCCGGGGTAGAATAGGTCTTCAGCAACCTATGCTTGTCGTATAAGGCGAGTAACGGGATCGGGTGGTCAGGCTCGCTGACTTGGGTGATACATGTCATCGATCCCAATTGCGTGGATGGATGCTCATGATGTCAGTCACTGGATTGCCGGTCCAGACTCGATTATCTACAGACCGCCGTCAAGGTTAGAATGGTTGGTAACTTGGCTGGTTGAATGTCTCCCAGGGTGCAAAGACTAGGCCCATATATCAATAGCTGGTTTGTATGTGTCAGACTGCTTTAATTAGTTTAATATTATTAGAGGTCGCCGTCATATTTTGAATATTTCTGAGTGCAACGTTTCACAAACAAAACAACACGTCCCTAAACATTGAAACATTACTTTCGGTCGTTTCTCACATTTCCACGTTCCATTGTCATTTCCATGTTATTACATTTTCTAATCTCCTGTATCATGCTGTGACAGTTTCACATTGCGAATTCCATTATCGTGTTTTTATCAAAGCAATAAAACAGAGTCCATATTGAACGATTCCGACAATATTATAGACATAGACATAATTAAACGAACATGTGTTGTCGACATAATTTTATGCAACGAGTGTCAGAATTTTGTATTTACCGAGCGAGAGCGAGGTAATACATGAATTCTCAAACTAGTTTCGTAAAATCAGCGTAACATACATGCGAGTATAATAATGTATATATTACCCATTATTTCTTAATTCTTTTGAGATCCCCTTTGAAAATTGCTCCGATCACGACTGCCGTCTCAGGAAACCACAACTGTTGAATGACGTCAACAATCTTCAGCTGTAACGTCGTTTCTAGTGTGACGTCATTCCGACCTTACGTCACAATCAGATTCGAAGGACGTTAACAATGCCGTCAACATAACGTAAACAATACGCTGGTGCGCTTGACGTGATATTTGTTCCAGTGCATGTACAATTTTTATGAACTTAGTTATTGTTGCTATTTGCTGGACCCGTGAAGATTTGGGGTAGAATTGGTCTTCAGCAAACAATGCTTGCTGTAAGAAGCGACTATGCTTGTCGTAAAAGATTCCGGGGTAGAACAGGTCTTCAGCAATCCATGCTTGCCGTAAAAGGTGACTCTGCTTGTCGTAAAAGGCGACTAACGGGATTGGGTGGTCAGGCTCGCTGACTTGGTTAATGCATGTCATCGATCCAAATTGCGTGGGAACCCGTGAAGATTCCGGGGTAGAATAGGTCTTCAGCAACCCATGCTTGCCGTAAAAGGCGATTAACGGAATCGGGTGGTCAGGCTCGCTGACTTGGTCCATGCCCAATTGCATGGATCGATGCTCATGATATCAATCAATTGATTGTCTGGTCCAGACTTGATTATTTACAGACCGCCGTCATATAGCTGGAATATTGCTGAGTGGGGCGTTAAACAACAAACCAAACCAACCAACTATATTACGAAATAGTGTTAAATGGGGTGTAAAGTACATTAACTCATACATGAAACTGTAGGTTGGAGATATAATCCTGTTAAACAGTTTTACGAAACAGACAGCGAAATATGACAACACATATGTACAAAGATAATTTTCCATTTAACCCTATTGGTTTTGGTTTGGTTTGTTGTTTAACGCGCACTCAGACATATTGCAGCTACATGACGGCGGTCTGTAAATAATCGAGTCTGGACCAGACAATCCAGTGATTTACATCGTGAACATCATACACGCAATTGAGATCGATGACATGCATCAACCAAGTCAGCGAGCCTGATCACCCGATCCCTGTAATCGCCTTTTACGACAAGCATAGTCGCCTTTTACGGCAAGCATGGGTTGCTGAAGACCTATTCTACCCCGGAATCTTAACCCTATTGAAAGAGTTTCAAACGACATGAAGTTCAAATAAAAGAACTGTTGATTTCTACCAAAACATAACTTTTTTCAGTTGCTGACCATGACCTTTGCTGATAGAAGTCATTTCGAAGATTCGGATTAACATCATAATAATGACAAAGCCAACACACTGTGTTTGGCTGATACAAGTCCAGACTCACTAAGAACATGGGACGAGTTGGTTCAATGGTTTAACCTCATGGTGCCTGGACGTCAGGCAGCCTGTACACCGCTCAGTGCCGCACTGTGGTGACGTCGCGGTTACAAAAACGTATTTATTTTATAGAAAGTGTACAACGTTCTTATTTCTTCACACGACGTTACAAAATTCTACGATATAATAGATTCTTATATTGTCTTTCGGTAAGTTGTTGGAAAATGAGTTTATTTTCATTCTGGTGCCATCGTTGAAAGTGTGAGTAGTCATAATTTCGTGTTTTTCTTACTTGTGAATATTGAAACATCCCCATGGCCGGGCCTGTGTCTTTGTCATGAATATATATGTTTTTAGAAATGATAACATTTGACAGGAAATAACTTTATGGTTCTAACAATATGACATTTATTTATGTGTTCCAAAACAGAGAGACACGTGAAGATTCCGGGGTAGAATAGGTCTTCAGCAACCCATGCTTGTCGTAAAAGGCGACCAACGGGATCGGGTGGTCAGGCTCGCTGACTTGATTGATGCATGTCATCGATCCCCATCGCGTGGATCCCAATTGCGTGGATCAATGCACATGACAATTTCATCGAAAATGTACATAGGCATGCTTACACGAAAAGGTAAAGTATACATAAGTCTTCAAGTGAAACTTTTGTTGTCAGTAGGTTTAATATTGATGTACCGCTCATGTATTCCAAAGAATCTGGAGCCGATGTACCACAGGCGAAACCGATTTGGGCACAATTTTGTTAAAAATGGCGTCGAGTTCCATTTTCATTTTATGAGGACATGTTTAGAAACTTAAATGTTCGGTAAAATGGCAACAGATGTGAATATTTATACACATAATCATGAAGTGTAATCAATCGTGTGTGTCAATTCATAATATTCTATGCTTAATGATAAGTGTATGGAGTCGAAATTAGTGGCCAGACAACGCAAACTCACTGGAATAAAATTATGCACAGCAGTCATGTAAAACTTAATTCGTTATATTGTGTTGTAAAATGAAAATATATTTTTACATGTTTTCTAACTGGTGTTTTATACAGTTTAATATATATTGTTAATGTCAAATTTTGTTTCGTCACGATATGGCTGAAATATTGCCGATGTGACGTTAAACTTTAACTCACTCACGTTACGTTCTTTCGTATGTCACACATTTTCCAATTGTGGATCATATCCATAACTTACACTAAAATGGTGTCCACCATCAAAGCATTCTTTCTGTACGCTTGCTTTTCATAATTTCATTCAGTGAACGTCGTAAATGTAATGGAGGTAGACACTGTCATTTTCTCATGTGTACCGACCGTTCCGCCATTACAGATAGTCGATAAAAATATACAAAACGTGTAAATAAACCTGTTCGTAAAGGAGTGAACGGTAATGTATTTACGTGAATAAGTACACAGTTGTGAGAAACATGTCTTTCTGACCACTCAGGTCATATTATTTCTTATGAACAAGGATTTTGTCTGAAAATATTTGCGTGTACGTGACATGGATGCATAATCAAAATTCGCCGTCATTCGCTTGGAGTTCAAACATGGCAGAGAAAGGCCGAGAAGCGGGGTAGCCACTTTACTAGTCTCGCCACATTTCGCAATCCGTAGCATTGTATAAAGTATGAGTTGCACGATGTTATAGCTATGATGATTGGTATGATGATTTAATTAATTTTGACTTTGTGCACTCAGAGTTTGATATCTAAATTTACAGTTACATGTAAAAAGGGCGTTTTCATGATGGTCCCTAGACACTATGCGGGTGTTGGTTGGTTGGTTGGTTTGTTGTTTAACGCCGCACTCATCAATATTCCAGCTTTATGACTGCGGTCTGTAAATAATCGAGTCTGGACCAGACAATCCAGTGATTTACATCATGAACAACGATCCACGCAACTGGGATCGATGACATACATCAACCTTGTCAGCGAGCCTGACCACCCGATCCCGTGTGGCTTTAAAGAACAAGCAAACAAAACAAAATAAAAAGAGACATTCTTTTGTCAAAGAGACTATGTGTACAATAAGGTTGGTAGTGTTATAATAATTATTATGTAAAATTCTTAATATTATGATAACAATCATTGTGACATTATAGGAACTCCGATTTAACCCATGTTGGGACTCTGAGCAGGCATTCAGTGTAACAAGTTTATTTAACCGTCTTGGTGCCACGGGACCATATATGGTCCCCCCCCCCCTTTTTTTTTCACACCCGCATAGGACCCGTGAAGACGCCGGGTAGAATAGGTCTTCAGCAACCAATGCTTGCCGTAAAAGGTGACTATGCTTGTCGTAAGAGGCGACTAACGGGATCGCGTCTGTTGCAATAAGTACGGTATTAATTTTTTTAGTGGCACCTATCTTGTACATCATTAATATATAT